GACCACACCATTTAAATTGCAGTCCCACCACACACACACACTGGCCACTCCCTCTCCCCCTTCTCAGTTCTATTTTATTCCCCTGCAGCTCAAGAACTCTCTGATATACCATAACACATATGGTTTGTTTTTCAGCGTATTGTTTATTGTTGATTGCTGGTCTGTGAGCTCCATGATGGCAGGAGTTTTTGCATGTTTTATTTACTGTTAAATCCCTAGGCTTTGACCAGTGCTTGGCAGTGGGTATTTAGTGTGCTGAAAAGCTTGGGTTTCTACTATTATGCCTGTTGCCACTCCACCTGCACAGTGAAGTGGAACAGACATTGCAAAACTGCTTGCTCTCATCGTAAATTATTGGAAAAGACTTCAACTGATTTTTTAAAAAAGTTTTTTTCGGTTTTAAATAAAATAAAAATCTGAACTTAGGAATAAGTGATATGGCATTTTTCTTTGAGAGAATATACAGACTATATATTCATATTTATAAATGTCGGTGTTTTATTTGAACTTTTATTTGCAAATGTAATGAAAAGCTATGTGACAAGCAAACACGCCCATCCCTTTGATTTAAATCCCTACTGTGGTAAAAAGAACAAAACCATACATACCAGATACCAGCTACGCTGCACCATTATTCCATTTAATCCTCATCATGGAGAAAATAGCTACTAATATCCCCATTTTAACATGTGGAAAATGAAGTTCAGAGAAGCTTAGTAACTTACCCATGGTCATACAGCCAGTTAGCTGCAGGTGCCAAAGCCCGTTCACAGTGCTTTAAAGCTGTGATCCCCAACCCCCGGGCCACAGACCAGTACCAGTCCATGACCTGTTAGGAACTGGGCCGCACAGCAGGAGGTGAGCGGCAGGTGAGTGAGCAAAGCTTCATCTGTGTTTACAGCTGCTCCCCATCACCGGCATCACCACCTGAGCTCCGCCTCCTGTCAGATCAGCAGTGGCACTAGATTCTCATAGGAGCTCGAACCCTACTGTAAACTGCACAAACCTACCAAAAAGGTCCTTTAAAGCAGCGGAGGACCACCATCTGATTACTTGTTTCAAAGTCATCTTTTGCTTCCCAAAGTAATCCCCAACATAACCCTGACATAACTTTAAAGAGCATCTGTCAAGCACATATTTTGCGCACAAGGAGAAATGTCATTCCCTAATGAGGACTTTTTTAGCTCACAGACTAATGTGTTTCTAGACGTGGTCCCATCTGGATGAGGACCGCCAGGAGCTCCGCAGACAGCTGGAGGTGGTGGAAAGCAGCATCCCGAGTGTGGGCCTGGTGGAGGAGAGCGAGGACAGGCTCATCGACCGGATAACGCTCTACCAGGTTGGTGGC